TTGTCTTCATTGTTATACTGAATACTATTGATCTGGATGTACTATTTATTAAGGATATAACTAGGTTTTATAGTCTTTTACCTTACATTACCTTTACAAGTATTGTATATCAAATAAGAGATTACAAAAATCTTGAACACACAAACTATATATAGATTCAGGTACTATGCTATACTGATTTAGCAAAATATGTTGTAGCTTTACACTGGATTCTCTCAGAGGAGCCCAAGACACCTGGCAGTCCAGTACCACTGATTGAAGATTTGCTTATGAGCGAGGCGTACATCAGTGCCGATGATCCTAAAACATGGCTTCGAAAACACCTTATTATCTCTCCAGAAAAGATTATGGAGGCTGCATTTATGACAGATGGCTAGCGTGAAAACTCTCTGTGGGCTGCTATCAGAAAATATAGATTTACAGCTTCAAATTTTGGCCTAATTATTGGAGCAGCAAGATGAAACAGGTATCTTTAAATTCTATGTTTATACAAATTTTCCAGATGGCTAAAATATTTCTTATATTCCATTTTACTAAAAATTCAAATTCAGAGTTGTGCTATTACAAAGCAAGTTTTAGCAACTGTACATAAATCGATGTAAATCAAAAAGTATATTAGAAAACTACTAATGTTCGCAGGCTTCACAAACAACCCTCATATTTTTACTTTGATATATATATAGGATCTCCCATGGTTTGTGGATTGATATGACTTTTATCCAACGAATTGTGTGTTTTATCCCCGAGCCTTGGCGAGGAAAATGAAAATTCACACAGAGTTGGCTAAAAATCATATCAAACCACAAATCATGAGTGATTCTATTTGTCACATATTTTCGTTCACTATTTTTAAAACATGATAAATGTGTCTTTTGTTTTTATTTCTAATTCAAAGTTCCCTTTCGATTAACTTGGACCAAATAACGTAATAAATAATACTACGCTATATGAAATAGCTCGTGCAAAAATGAAATAAAAATGTATTTCAGCATTTTTTTTTTTAATTCATGAATGAAAATTTGTTAGAATATATCAAAGTGAATTTTGACATTCTCTCCACCATTCACATGTATTTGTTTATTTACATTACGTAACGTGGCGTAGGAATACAAAGTGTTGATACGAAAACGATATCATATGAGCTATTTCACCGGGATACAGGTGAACATATGTAATAAAAAAGTTTTAATGGTTTCCATAAACATATGTCAAGAACTATAATCTTTAATTGCTATAAATGAACAAAATGCACAAGTTGCTAATCTTTCTAACAAATGGGTACAGTCCACTAATTGTTTTTCCATAGGCAACAATGTTAACGTCTCTTCTCAAAGCGATGTCCCTAATTTTCGTTCAGAAATGAGTGACCCCTCAAATCAAAGCACATCAACTTGTCTTTCCATGGTTAAAATCTCGAGGTGGCATGTCAGATTCCTTTTCCGGCAAAATGCTTCTGTCTGCGGGAACTTTTAAAAATGAAAGTGAAAGGAGGGGAATTTCAGAGTTCTGACTGGCGTTATAATACACAAAATAATTCGGCTGATCTTCTTGATAAATTACATTTGCCAAGCTTTTTCGGTAGGAAAGATACTCCTTATCAACAGGCGTGAGGCTCAGTTTTTTTTATGCAAGTCTGCAAATTCAGGAACTTGTGATTTTTTTCTGCACTACTTTCTTCTCCTACCAATTTTAAAAATAATAAGTGGGATGTACCCAAATCAAACAACGGCATTCAGACAAAAACATGAAATAAATATGAAACACAGATTAGAAATTAAAATTCTGTTAAAAGAGCTAGAAAGTCAGTCTTGTTAAAATTAATATAAGTTCAGTAATTTTGTAGAAATAAGAATTTTCAAAACATAGCAAACGAAACGTATGATATTGATCCCCCCCCCCAATATTTTAATGCAAATGAACATTCTCAGATAACAGGTTGTTATTGGACCTTTGCTGGGCCAACAATGCTCCTTATGTTGGGCCACCATATGCATTCAATATGCATTGGGCCATCGGTAATTTGTATGGGACTTTTAAAATCTTAAATGTAAAATGATTTTTCTTTCTTTTGGCTGCTTCAGATTTTAAATAAATTTGATATTATTTTAACAATCACATCACGCATTAAAACTTGCTAAAGGGGTGTGAATGTCAAGTACGTCGATAAAAAAGTGCATCAACGAGTTATCTAATGATTTCCATGCAGTACAGTTAAGGCAACATTTTCTGTAAAAAGTCACCGAAAATGATACACTTAATGTTTAATTGTTTTATTTTTCGTTAAGACATTCTAGTTTAAATAGCTTTACGTTATCTTGAAGAGTATGTTCATCGCTATTCACATCGATATTATTTGTCATCATGTGACCCTTTTAAGTGACGTGGGCTCCGATTTTAAGTCAACAAATGAAATGTCAAATTAAGCCAAAAAGTTCAAGGGCAAGGGAAACAAAAAAAAAAAAATAAAATAGCTCCACAGTTTTAAATTGTCCCCATGTATCTATACATTTGCAAAAACAATGCTCATTCAGTAAGTTTACCGATTAATTAAGTTATTCAGCTAATGAACAGACAGTAGTATATGAAAAATTGGGTATTTTCCTAATTTCATAGATATTTATAAATTACCTAAAGGATTACAAAGAAATGCATATGAGCATCACTTTTTGAATACAATACAGTAAAAAGAATAATTGCGTGGACCATTAGCAGTAAATATACATAGGCAATTTAGCCACATATGATCCACATATGCATTGCCTTTCATATGAATATTATATGTGGATCATATGACAATCATATGTATATACAATCATATGACAATCATATGTGGCCAATCATATGAGAATCATATGATCATACATATGTGAATCATATGAAGTTATATACATATGAATCTCATATGAAAGATCCTGCATATGAGAATCATATGAATATTCTGACAATAATCAAATGAGAATCATATGAAACTGAACATATGAGAATCATATGAAACAATGTTCACTAATTTGTCCTTGTTATACTCAGGTAAAATTGATACGAATGTTTTGACTGTGATCATATGAGAATCATATGAAACGGCGATCATATGGGAATCATATGAAACAGTGTTCACTTATCTGTCCTTGTTATAGTGAAGTAAAATTGCAATTTCAATTATATATATCAAAAGATAAATTTAAATGTACATTAGTTCAAAAGAATGTGTTAGTAATTAATCAATAAATTGTATATAAAGTTCTACTCTGTATAACCCAACCCCCCCCCCCCCCCCCTTTCCTTCTAGAAAAAAACTTTCACAATTTTTTTTTGTTATAATGCATTTCCCAGACAAAATAGATAAAGAATAAATTAATTTGCTTTTCATTTTAAATCTTTTGGGTTTGGCTCAGTAAAATTAGAATAATTCCGTATTTTTCTCCGGGCCGGTTTTGTCTTTTATCGGATGAAAATATACGTCATTTTTGACGTCACTGCTGCAGCAGGCGTGTTGGGTGTTTGGAAAAGGCAAGTGATCTCCTAACAATAATATTTTAAAGACTTTTGATTCATATTGTTTAAATATAATTTCATTATTGTTACAGGTGCGTATGAACTCTCTATATACTCTGTAAAAGAGTACAAATATTGCTATTCTATCTGAACTTGGCAGATTACCCATGTTTTGTTCAATCATCATTAGTTTACTATCTTATTGGCATAGATTAGAAAATAAGTCAGAATCATCTTTACTATATTGTGCATATAAAGAGTGCAAAATTCTTAGTCAGTCTGACATCAATAACTGGTTTGGCACTGTCAAATTTTTATGTAACAAACTAGACCTTAATTTACCGATATGTAAACAGTTAAATATGACCACATTTAAAGGACTACTGAAAAAACTTATCAAAAAGCATTTTTACAAATATTGGCTTAAAATACACGATGAGGGTCAAATACATGGTAAACTTGATAAATATTTTTTGTTGAAGAATACTTTTGCCATTGAGAAATATTTATTATCTTTAAAGTCTTTTGAACAGAGGAAAATACTGTGTAGATTCAGAATAAGTGCACATGAATTGAGAATTGAACGTGGTAGATATGAATATACAAAAGGTATTAATGGGAAAAAGATCCCTCTAGAAAGAAGTCAACGGACATGTACTCTTTGTAATTCAAATTGTATTGAAGATGAAATCCATTTCCTTACAAATTGTTCTTTATATAATGAAGAAAGGAAAGTTTTGTTTAACTTTTTAAGTGACAATTATAAAAATTTCAACACTCTGTCCAACAATCAAAAATTTTTATGGATTATGGCAAATGAAGATCACAATATATTATTTAAACTATGTGACTTTTTATCAAAATCTTTTATTAAGAGAAAAAATCTCATTAAAAAATGATAAAAGTAAAAATGTTAGGATATACATAATTATTCAATTCATGTGCACTACAGTCTTTACTACTAATGTACTTTGCATTTTTGTTTTTTCTCTATCTATCTTATAAACATTATAAGTTCAAAAATGCATGTACATTAATTAATTGCCATTAGGCCTAAATACTGATGCCCCATACCACAATATGATACATATGTATATATACATTGAAGAGTCATATGTCTATTTTATGTACATGTTTGTATAGGTTCATGTATGTCTAAATGTTTTGTTTTGTTTTTCCTTTTTCTGTCAACTATATATTAGGCCTTTCTCTTGTAAGTTTGTATTCTTTATGCTCATTTGGGCACTGAATTAGTAATAAAACATATCTTATCTTATCTTATCTTACTCTTATCACTTGCATCATGCATGTAATAAATCAATGCATTTCGTAAATCTAACGTTCGTGATCTGTAAGTAAGTTTGGATAAAATTTGTTTCTGAATGAATGTAAACATTACATGTTAGGCTAAAGGTATTACTACTTTTAAAAACTTGAATTTGTTTTCGTTTTGTTACGTACTGATATGAAAGTGAAAGTAGAAACCTGTCAGTTGGCGTTATCCTTATGTATGTTGAGATCGTTATCAAGTCCGGATTCCTTCTTAAACGTAATGACAAATGTTTGTTTTTATGGCCTTTAAATGCATTCGGCAACTTCATTTCAGTGTCACAGTGCTGTTTTTTTTTTCAGTCCAAAGAGCCCGAAGCTGATAAGACTGGCGATTGATCCTGAAGCTGATTTGACAGACGATTGCATCATCACAACATTGAAGGTAAAAATAAATACTTGAAATAAAAAATCAAAGTATCTGTAATGTCTCTTTATGACAAAACATTTCTTGATAATTTCTTTTTGTTCTTTTATAATTCTACATTGTTTGCATGACTTCATCAAAAATGAATTCAACTCAACTGAATACTCTAGAAATTTTTTTCTACATTATTAAGGTCTTCCATTTCAGACGGAAGACCTTATAGTGATTCTACTGTTTTTTAAGGTCTTCCGTTTCAGACGGAAGACCTTATAGTGATTCTACTGTTTCTTTTTATTATTTTTTTTTCCCCTTTTGAGATTTCTTTTTTTTTTGACGAATTCTCAGAGAAGACTTGACAGATTCTCATGAAATTTTCAGGGATGATAGATAATTAAAATATCTTTCAAATGCAGTTTTCAGTTTTTCAAAAATTCACTTCCGGTCGTCAGTTATGTCCGATTTCCGCTTTTTTCAAAAAAGTTTTGTCCGAGTCATATCTCAGAAACAGTAAGAGATTAAGACACCAAACATATATGAGTGATAGATCTTGATAAGTAGGCAAAACCAATTGCGTTAAGATTGTCCGCCGTTACTTCCTGTCTTCACAGGAAGTGATAAAAGAAATCGAAAATTTCAACTTTTCTTTCATGAAACTTTTTTTTCATCACATTATAGCATCTTATTTGTAGTTTCAAAATATATCAGTCCCACCGGAAACAAAAACGACAACTTCCGGCTATAAGAGAAAAACTGCATATTTCCAGTATTTTTCTCTCCCATAAATATTTTTTATATGTAAAATATTTGAAATGATTTTTGGATATCTTATTTAGACTTCAGATGTTTACAGTAACGTCAAATATCTTTGTAAAATTCACTTCCGGTCGCGTGATTTTATGTCCTCAAAATGAGAAGTTATCATAGCTACATCTCGTAAACGGTAAAAGATTAAGACACAAAACTTATTGGAGTGATAGATCTTTATGAGTAGGCAAAATCAGTTGTAATAAGATCGTCAGCCGTCACTTCCGGTGGTCACAGGAAGTGATCTAAAAAATCGAAATTTTCAACTTTTCTTTCATGAAACTGTTTTGGCATCAGATCACAGCATCTTATTCGTAGTTTTGAAATATTTCAGTACCACCGGAAACTAAAATATGACAACTTCCGGTTAAAAGAGAAAAACTAATTAATTTGAGTATTTTTCTTTCCCATAAATATTTTTTTATTCATAAAGTATTTGTAATGATTTTTGGATATTTTATATAGACTCCTTATGTTTACAGTAAATTCAAATATTTTTGTAATATTCACTTCCGGTAGCGTGATTTTCTGTCCTCAAAATGAGAAGTTATCATAGCTAGATCTCGTAAATGGTAAAAGATTAAGACACCAAACTTATAGCAGTGATAGATAGTGATGAGTAGGCAAATTCATTTGGGATAACATTATCCGCCGTCACTTCCGGTTCTCACAGGAAGTGAACAAATACATCAAAAATTTCATTTTTTCCATGGAATCGTTCTTTATAATTCATTATAACATCTTATTTCTAAATTTGAAATACTGTATAAGTACTTTTTTCCGCGTGGTATTAATTAACGCTATGTACGCGGTCATAAATTTTCCGCAGAACTTTGTCCAAGCGTACTTAATGTAAATGCAAGACATATAGTGACAGTGTAAGAAATACGCGTTCTTTTCTACCCGCGGATAAATTGAGATTCCGCGGTAATATGACCCCGTGGATAAAAGTAAGTCTACAGTATGTCAGTACCACTGGAACCAAAAACAAAAACGACTACTTCCGGTTATGAGAGAAAAACTGCATAAATTTTGTATCATACTATCCCATAAATATTTTTTTTTTTTACAAAAAGAGCATTTGGAATGTTATTAGGGCATGTTATTCAGACTGAAACCTCAAACATCTCTTCAAAAATTTACTTCCGGTCACGTGATTTCTTGTCCTCAAAATGAGATGATAACATCTCTTAAGCTGTAACAGATCAAAACACTAAACTTATATGAGTAATAAACCATAAAGATTGGGCAGCATATATAAGGTTAAATGCGTCCGCCGTCACTTCCAGTCATCACAAAAAGTGATAAAAAAAAGAAAATGATTTTTGTAAATATTGTTAAGACTATAATTATCTAAAGTAAAGTAAAGAATCTTGGTTACACCTCCGGCCGTTTGTTTTCCTGAAATCATGTAAAATATTGCCTTTTTTACCAAAGATAAAAGCACATTCATGCAGATATAAGAGGAGAACGGAAGACCTTCTTTGTTGCTGTAGCAACAAGAGATTCTAGTTCTTTTTATTATTTTTTTTTCCCTTTTCTTTTTTTGACGATTTCTCTGAGATGACTTGATGGATTCTCATGAAATTTTCAGGGATGATAGAAAGTTAAAATATCTTTCAAATGCAGTTTTCAGTTTTTCAAAATTCACTTCTGGTCGTCAGTTATGTCCGATTTCCGCTTTTTTAAAAAAAGTTTTGTCCGAGTCATATCTCAGAAACAGTAAAAGATGAAGACACCAAACTTATATGACTTATAGATCTTGATAAGTAGGCAAAACCAATTGGGTTAACATTGTGCGCCGTCACTTCCGGTCGTCACAGGAAGTGATCAAAGAAATCGAAAATTTCAACTTTTTATTTTTTGAAACTTTTTTACATCACATTATAGCATCTTGTTTGTAGTTTCGAAATATATTAGTCTCACCGGAAACAAAAACGACAACTTCCGGTTATTAGAGAAAAACTGCATGTTTTCAGTATTTTTCTCTCCCATAAATATTTTTTATGCGTAATGAATTTGAAATGGTTTTTGAATATGTTATTCAGACTGCAAATGTCTACAGTAACGTCAAATATCTTTGTAAAATTTACTTTCGGTCGCGTGATTTTCGGTCCTCAAAATGAGAAGTTATCATAGCTAGATCTCGTAATCGGTAAATGATAAAGACACCAAACCTATCTAGAGTGATAGATCTTGATAAGTAAGGAAAATTTGTTGTGATAAGATTGTCCGTCGTCACTTCCGTTCGTCACAGGAAGTGATCCAAAAAATCGAAATTTTCAACTTTTCTTTCACGAAACTGTTTTTGCCTCACATTAGAGCATCTTATTTGTTGTTTTCAATTATTTCAGTACCACTGGAAACAAAAAGAGACAACTTCCGGTTAAAAGAGGGAAACTACATAATTTGAGTGTTTTTCTTTCCAATAAATATCATTTATTTATGACGTATTTGAAATGATTTGTGGATATGCTATTCAGACTGCAACTGTCTACATTATCGTCAAGAAATTTTTTGCAAAACTCACTTCCGGTTGCGTGATTTCCTGTCCTCAAAATGAGAAGTTATCATAGCTAGATCTCGTAAACGTTGAAAGATTAAGACACCAACTTAATAAAGTGGTTAATCTTGATGAGTTGGCAAAAACAATAAAGATAAGATTGTCTGTCGTCACTTCCGGTCGTCACAGGAAGTGATCAAAGAAATCATGAATTTTAACTTTTCTTTTAGGAATACTTCTTGGCATCACACTATTGCATCTTAATTGTTGTTCCGATATATGTCCGTCCCAAAAGAAACAAAAACAGCAACTTCCAGTTATGAGAGAAAAACTTTATTAATTGAGTATCATACTATCCCATAAATATATTTTATAGAATGTGTACTACGAAACTACTTCCTTCAACCTTAAAATGATAAGTTTACAAAAAACCTTTTTTGTTGTCGAACTCAACGGCTCAGTGGTTAGCGTGTCAGACTTTCATTCTGGTTTTGGGATCGAGCCTAGATCGAGGATTCTTCTTTTTTTTGCATTTTGTCCTTTATTTTTTTTTAAATAGAAAAATATCCTTCTTACAGATAAATAAAGAAGTCTGAAGAACGGAAGACCTTATTTGTTGCTGTAGCAACAATAGTATCTAGTTATGATTATAGTTTTAATCCAGTGCACTTAAAATATGCAAAGTATGAGTAGATTTTGCTGGCTGTAAAGGCTATGAAACTATATAGTATACAATAACTTTGTGGGAAGAGAGGGGATAAACTGGATTTTTGAATTTCAACTAAAAAATTATTATAGTGACATCCAACTTTAAAGGTATAAATACATGTGCATGTGTGTTGAAAGAACATCAGCTAGCTAATCCATTGAATTTTTACATCTATGTACATGTGTATTCATTTACTGACAATTATTCCTCCCCCAACACTAGTGAATGGTGCGCGTGCTTATAGTTTCGGGTTAAATGTTAGATATATTTAAGACTATAGAGAACCTACAAACTTGTTCTCTCTCTTTTTAATAGTTTAAGTTTTAATTAAATGTATTCTTAGAAAATATCTACTGTGTGAGACTGTGAGTATTTGTCTTACAGGTTCAATATACAGTCAGCCTCTCATAAGATAAAGAACAAATCCCAAGATCCAAGGCTTGCTTCAAAGTTAAGGTAACTACACACTGTTAAATAAACTTTGTTATAGTCTTCCAAAAAGTTTGGGATATCTTGGAATCACAATGTCTGTTTTTCTGCCTGTCTACTTGTCTGTTGTATTTTTTGTCCAGAAATAATAAATATGTATCTGTATCAGAATCTTCTTAATTTTTTGACAATCTGAATTAATATGTACTGTTTGAACATTCCAAATTTGATTGTCAGAATAACAAAAAATTGCTTTTTATGATTTTATTATGAAGCATATCTTTCAATAGTGTAATTGTTTTGCAAATTACATCATAGGATTCCTCAAAACACCTAGTATTACATATATAACATTAGTTTTATCTTGTATCATATCTGTGTCAGTGAATTGGGCATACATTTGTTTGCTGATTATACCTAAGTAACTTTTATAACTCATAGAATTTAAGAATTATATTATTTTTACTTTTGAAATTTTTGTAGAGACCATTCTGTGCCACAAAGAAATTGTTCAGGAAGAGGAGAAGTGGTGGATATTCATTTTTGGTACGGGTCCGTGTAACACTTAACAATTCAAATTTCTGAAACGATTTAGAGTTTTAGAATGTTAATATACTAGTTCAAATATCTAACTTTCAAAAGCTCAAACTGATTTGGTTTAATGAAATTTAACATTTTAGTTCAAAAATCTAAATTTCCAAATTTCCAAATAGGTTTTAGAATTTTGATATTTTAGATTTTTACCTTATATTTTCAAAATTCAAATTACCCAAAAAGATTTATGGAATTTAAACTTTTGAGTTTTTAGTCTACCGTTTGTTCAGAAAAATTACACTTAACAATCTAAAGTTCGGTAACATTTTTCGTCTTTCGATTATTTGAAATTAGCTTCAAGCTTCTAAAATCCAACTTTGAAACGTTTAAGATTTTTAGAAATTTGGAATTTTGGTTCAAATGTTCAAATTTCTAATAATTAACACTTTGAGTTTTTAGAATTTTACTTTAAATATCCAAAATTTAGACCAGGTATAGAATTTCATATTTTGGATATTTGAAGTAAACTTCTAAAAACTCAAAATGTATAAACGTGTTTTGGTTATTTAAAAGTTGAGTCTTTAAATCAAAATTCTAAATTTCTAAAAATCTAAAGCGTTTGAAAGTTGGAAGTTTGAAGTCAATTCTAAATAATCAAAAGACGAAAATGTAATCGAATTTTAGATTCTTAAGCGTAAACTTTCTGAACAAACGGTAGATTAAAAACTCAAAAGTATAAAATACAAAATGTGTTTTGGAAATTTGAATTTTGAATATTTAAGGAAAAAATCTTAAAACTCAAAATGTTAAACCTGTTTGGAAAATTGAAATTTTAGATTTTTGAACTAAAATATTAAAATTCAATATACCAAATCAATTTGAGTTTTTGAAAGTTAGATATTTGAGCTAGTATATTAACATTCTAAAACTCTAAATCGGTTTAGAAATTTGAATTGTTAAGTGTTACACGGACCGGTACGGTACAGTTCAAAGAGATTTTCAAAATGGTCATGGAAGATCAAAGGGAGGACAACTGAAAAAACTGAAAGATACAGAAGGAAAAAGAACAAACACAGGAAGAAACAAGACCTTTCAGTTAAAACTGAAAGGCGGATTTCAGTAACTTTTCAGTGGCCATTCAGCCACTGAATGGCACATACATTTCAGTGACCTTTCAGTTGCCTTTCAGTCACATTTCAGATACCTTTCAGTCACCATTCAGCGGACACATTTCAATCAACTTTCAGTGGCCTTTCCATCAACTTTCAGTGACCTTTCCATCAACTTTCAGTGACCTTTCCGTCGTCTTTCAGTGACCTTTCCGTCGACTTTCAGTGATCTTTTTGTCGTCTTCTAGTGACCATTCCGTCGACTTTCAGTGATCTTTCTGTCGTCTTTCAGTGACCTTTCCGCCACCTTTCAGTGATATTTAAATAGCAATTTAGTAATTTTTTCACTAGCGTATTATTTTATAATCAGATATTTTTCCTTAACAAGGAAGCCATTTTAAATAAATTATTTTAAATAAAGATTTATTATTCAATCTTACTTGTGTTTTTTTTTTACTTATCGTGATCAAATTCGGGTACCTTAAAATATGTCTTGGTAATTATTATTGATAATTACAAGAATTAATAAATCGTTTATACATGCCTCTTGTAAAAAAAATATATAGGAGATTTTAGCTTTCTAATGATATTGCTGTAATAAAATCACTCTACTAAGTTTTAGATAGAGAATTTACAATGATCTTAAATCTTTGACACAGGAACAGGTGCCCGTCTCTAATAATTGCATCATCCTTATAGGAGATGTGTAATTAATTTGTCTATCCCCAAAATAAAAAATGTGAGACTTATTCAAAATGATTTTTAATTGAATATTTCTAGTTACATTAAGAAAATAAATCCTTCAAGTGATAAAAAATGATGATCCGATAACCGATTCAAAATTTAAATAAATGCATAACATTCTATAGTGCTTATACGTGTATTTTTTCATGGAAATAAATAGTCCTGATTAATGATACAGAACTAATATTATCTAAACCATTTCTGGAAGATTGCAAGTATTACTGATCAATTTCGTTTCTTAATTATGTCATTTTCAAAACTGCAGGATACTTAGTTTCTCAAAGACATTATTTTAAATTAATTTTTAATTACAAGAATAAACAAATCATTTATGTATGCCTCTTGTAAAAAAAATATATATATAGAAGTATTTAGCTTTCTAAATGATATTGCTTTAATAAATTCATTCTATTAAGTTTCTAGCTAGAGAATATTCAAATCTTTGACAAAGTAACAGGTGCCCTTCTCTGATAATTGTCATTATCCCGATAGGTGATGTGTAATTAATTGGTCTGTCCCAAAAATCCGCGCAACTAACATAGAATATACAAAAGATATACAAGATATATATACACATCGCAGCTCCTCGATACAACAGGTGAACTGATTGTTCCATCGATTTCAATAGATTAATCAGATTTTGTCAACAAGAAGCCGTAGCGTAATTGATATGGTCGCGGACACCTACGCAGGAGACCCGGGTGTGATTCTGGGCATGGAAGCATTTTTTTCTTGCATTAATTTTTTCTTATTTTTTTTTATTCGGAATTAGATACATTTAATGCTATTATACCAAGAAAAAGTGAAATAAAATTTTTAGGTTAAAAAATACGCCGATTATTCAATAAAATGATTCAACTGAATGATCACGGAAAGGTCACTGAAATGTATGTGCCATTCAGTCGACTGAATGGTAACTAAATGATCACGGAAAGGTTACGGGAAAGGGTCTTTTCAGTGACCTTTCAGTGACCATTCAGTGGTCATTCAGCCACCATTCAGTCGACTGAATGGTGGATTTTCATCCTGTGGAAGTTGATGTTTTAACCTGTCACCAGATTAGAGAAAACATTGAACGTATATTACACAACCTCTCCAACACGTTCCAGAAAAACTCGCATTTCCAGGTTGCATTCAAATGTAAATCTACTGGTTTTTGTGACAGCAGAGAAAGCGCTGTCATAAGTGAATCTAAGTTTATCAAAGACACTTTTCAGTGTCCATCCTGTCCGGCAAACAAAAAGCACCGAATCATCTCAGAAGATATAAAAAAGTACTGGGAACAGGTAATTCTTCTGAAATGCAAAATAGTACATTAATACATAATTTTTTATTGAATGATTATATGACATTGAGATCCTTTTAAATCATGTAGCAACATTCAAATTTCATTTATTCATAAAGTGCTGCATCCACCTATATCCACTTTAGGATCTTAATATATTTCCGAGAAAAAGGTTATATTTTACATTTAATTTAAAATATGACTTGTTTCATTTGTTATTTTAAACGTTTCTTCTAAAATTAGTTAATAATATTTATTTGATTAGGTTGTATCTTGTTTCAGACAAAACCAAATAATCCTAGCAGTTCGAGGGCTTCTGGACAAGACCTTGGAGGCCGATCTAGATTTGCCAAACTTGGAATGGCAACAAACGATGTATTAAATCAGGCATACAGAGACATAATAGAGATGGAGGTCCCTCATTCCATTGTTTATATTAAAGTGAAAGCATCACCAAATTTTCACAGAAGATTGCGCCCTGAACAAGAACAACTCTTGATAGATGCTGCACATTTGGGATATAAGAATTTTGATATTTAATTAACATACACATTGATCAAAAAATGTGGAGACGAGCCTGCAGCAGGAGAGGAAACAGTCGGTGATGATGTCGAGAGAATAAGGTCAATCCGAAATAGTTTGACTGCACACGTGAGCTCAGCCTCCACCCCTCAGACAGAATTTAAAGACACCTGGTCAATGATGTCAGATATCTGCAAGAGATTGGAAATCTTCACGAGAAAGAAGTACTTTGATAAGCTTGAAGATATTCAAAAACTACACATAAAGGAGAAAGATGAAGATACTTTTAAAAAAATGAAAGAAATGTGGGAGAAAATCAAATGAAATATGCAAAAATTCGAAACAACATTCAAACCTTACATAGATGCTACAAATTAGAATAACCAACCTTAGAATCTGGGGCGAAATATTGGAATCATAACGTAAAAACTTAACGGGTTACGGTGAAGCCAGTACGTGTGGATGTCCTAGAAACAACGTATGAAAGCAAAGATGCTACAAAATAGGAGTATTACTTGTAAATCGTATGACTTCGTGAAAGTGTATATCATTAAAGTACCGGTAGTCAAAATTCGTTATCGAATATCAGTGATATTTTTTGTAGGATCTGATGCGTAAACCTGTGACTCATCATCATATTGTTATCTGGGACAGCTGATTAAAACAAATTTATCTTTTTTACAATGAAAAAATAATGAATGGATTATAATTATCTTGTACGATATTAAGGGGAAAATTTACTTTTGAACGAGTAAGCATAGATATGAATTAGTATTTTGCAGAATACTCTTAAATATTGCATTGTACTTGAGTAAGCATTTCTCCATAGCAAAAGCACTAAAACGAATACACAACCAAATGTATATACATTTACAGTACTTTAATTTCATGAATTGAGATCAAAATTCAAAGAGGGAGGCAC